TGCACCCAATCCTGCACCATATCCTGCATCCATTCCTGCATCCATTCCTGCACCCATTCCTGCACCTATTCCTGCACCTATTCCTGCACCTATTCCTGCACCTATTCCTGCGCCTATTCCTGCGCCTATTCCTGCACCCATTCCTTCACCTAATCCTGCAGCTCCTTTTATACCTGCTCCTCCCGTTGCACCTATACCTCCTTCTGCACCTGCTGCTGCTGTTTCTCCTGATGCTCCTTTTGCGTTTGCTAAAAATTCCTCATATAAGCTATCAAATACAGCATATTTATCACTTGCATCTTGCTCATTTTGATTAGCACCCATAGCAGATTTTTGGTCAAAAGCATTTTCACTCACATTATCATTTCCAGGAATTAAACCACCAAGAGTATTAAAACCTGGATTACTTCCCATAGATGTTCTACCACCGAAAATTTTATCATTTGGAATGCCATTCATGGACGTTAATCCCCTACCTCCCATTATATTAGTTGGTGTACTGCTATCGCCATATCTTAGCATTCTATTTTCCAATGTACTCATCCCTGGAATTGTCTCTGCACCAAGAGTTCCAACTGCGGGGAAATTTCCAAAATTGCCCTTATAATATGATTCCAAGTTATGCTCGCCAAAAGTTATAGATTTGTTATTTCTTGGACCCCACAAATTTCCTGAGTTTGTTGCTCCTCTTTGGAACAAGTCAATTAGATCATTAGTGCTGTTATTTGCAAAACCTCTTTGTAACAAGCTTGACTTTTCATAAGGATCAAAATTTTTTTCCGCAAATGAGTCATTGCTTCCCTGTTCTCTTCTAAGATTTTCTTCAGACAAATTCCTACCGTTGGAATAACCCCAATGTCTTTCTGGTACTATAGTATCTCCATATATATGTTCATACTATAAAAGAATTTAAATAAATGATTTATATAAAACAAATTAATACATAATTTTATAATGGTATAAAACTACATACACGCACACATATGTATGTTATTCGTTTATATGTATATTACATGTAGGCATATTATTCGCCTAAATGTAATATTATAAAAAACAAATAATTTTTCATAATCTAATAATTTTCATTATATAGGTCTTACATCTAAAAACATGTATAAAAAACCAACGAGAAGTACACTAGTAAACCTTGAAAACATAAAACTCCGGATGTTACTTTTACAGCAATTTTCTTCCACACCTCCTAACATGTTTATTGATCTGCTGTTACTCTTCTTACACTTGTTTACTAAAGATTTCCTTGCTAAAACACTTTCTCTAATATTTCCTAATGCCATTTTTTTAAATAATATACTTAAAAAAAAAAAAAAGTTTTACTTTATTTAATTAAGCAATAAAAAAAAATATATATATAATATTATATTGTATTGACAGAATATAACATAAATTTATATATATATAATTAAAAAATGTCACATC